CCTCCCCTCTCCTCTGTAGCCTTCACACAAGCTCATCTTTGTTTTCCCATATCCTAAAGCATAAGCATTCCCCAAAGAAGAGATCTTTGGATCCCTTCCTTACACTTCAAGTACTGCCTCTATATCAAAGACTCTCAAATCACTCTCTCCAGCTGACTTATTTTGAGAGCTCTAATTCCACATTTCTTTCAACTGTACCCAGTACCTTTTGCTGGGCTGTGTGACCTCAGTCAAATAAAGTGACTCCCCATATCAGGATCAGTTAACTTATCCATAAAATAAGGGTGTTGCCTCTCTACTGCATATAGAAGAAAGTTCTAATTCTCCAAGCCAGCATTTAATATTATTTACAGCCAAACTCTCTACCTATTTTGCCAAATATTTCTTACATACTTTTACCATATATTTTACTCCAACATAACTAAGCTCCTCACTGTTCCTAATACATGTCCTCTGTTTTTCTGGCCTCTTCCTAGAACACCAAACTGCACCTCCAAAGTTTGCTTAATCTTTGAAGCCCAGTTCAAACACCACTTCTGGGAAGCTGCCTTTGATCTCCTTGCATACCCTTATTTTATGCGTGCGGATTACATCCTCTTAAAATTATAGTTGTTTGTATATTTCTTCTCTCTTACTTGACTGTGTCATCTTGGACAGCAGAGGCTATTCCTAAATCAGCCTGTATCTCCCACGTCGCCTTTGGTTCATAGCACTTAGTAACCTTATACTGAATGGATTCAGTTTAGGCTATATCAGTCATCCTACTTAAAAAGACTTTGATCAGTCCCTGTGTTTCTGAAATAAACATCAAAATCCTTACAATGGCCACTTCGGCCACATCAGCTTTTGTTCAATTTTTCAAATTCACTATACATCTCAAGGCCCTCATGCGTGCTCTTCTCTTCATCTACAAAACTGCTCTACCCTCACGATAACCCTACCCCACCTCCATGTCTCTACTCACCCTTAATATCACTTCCTCGAGGAAGTTTTTCTTAAACCCCACACGAGATCAGTTTTTTTCTGTTATATACCTTCATAGCCCCACCCTCATACTTTTCCTTCATAGCATTCACTACTGACTGAAATAACAGTTGTGTGAGTATCTGATTTACGGCCTCTTCCCCAACAGACTATAAGTTCCAAGTAAGCAAAGGCCATGTCTGGTTTGCTCACCCTTGTATTATTGGCATGGTGCTTATTATCTACATAGTGCTTAACCACATCACTGAATAAACGTTGAACCACTGAATTGATGAACAATTGATTTAAAGGTAAAGACTTGGGACTTAGGGCATATAAAATCTTTGCCTGGCTTGCTATAATTCCTTTAAAATAAAATTGGGATTCCAGGTAAATTGGCCTTATATTCACTATTAGAAATTTATAAAATAGGATAAATACTGCCTCCCAAACGCTGGAAGGAAACCAAAATTACCTTTCTTTAATGAATGTATGGCTCCACAAGGCATAACTAACACCAAGTGACTTGCTCATTCACTTAGTGAACATTTATTAAACAACTACTCAATGCCACACACTAGGATAGTGGCTGATAGTACAATAAATTGGAGTGACAATTTACTTGCTTGGAATATATAATCTAAGAGGTGCATTTATAAAAGCTTAAAAAAAACTTTATGACAGTCACAACAAGTGATGCTACTTTGAAAGGATATTAAGTTCTTTGTCAAAGGAGACATTTAACCTGATGGTGAAAAATCCTTTGGCAAAAATGACTTTGAAATTACAACTGGGCCAAATCTGGGCCTCTTAAATTACTGGTAGCCTAGACTAGTGCTGTTCAAAGTGTGGTCTACAGATCAATGACTGTCTGCAAACTATTATTGCCAGGCAGTAATGACCTAGGAGCAGAAATTCAAAATAATCACTTATAAAATATTATAGCAATTTAAAAAATATTTTTATGTCTGTTGAATCTAGTAATAAAAATATGAGCTTATATTTTCTTTTCTTTCATTTTCTAATAATTCATAATGTATTTTACTAAAGTAACAGTCTGTGATGGATAGGAAAATTTTTCAAAACTGGTCTTTGAACAAGGTAGTTTGAAAAGCACTGGAACAGCAGACTCAGGATTACCTGGTAGTTTGTTAAAATGGAAAATCTCACGTTGTACCCCCAGACCCTCTGAGTCAGAATTAGCATTTTAACAAGATCCCCAGGAGACTCTTTTGCACATTAAACTTTGAGAAACACTGGCCTAGATGATTTCTGAAGCCCTTACAACCCTGAGAGCTTATAATTTACTTCAGATAGAGGAGCTGAAAGACCCTTGGTGATACAATCCACCTCATCATTTTTAGATGGAAAAACTGAGGTCCATGGAGAGGTACTCAGGTGTACAAGGTAACCGACAAATTACAGAGCTAGGAATAAAACTCAAGTTCCCTAACACCCAGGTCAGTTCTCCACTCTAACACGCTGGTGCTCACTCCTATCCCACCCACTCTCTGCACCATCCCCTCAGTGATGTCATTGTTTTTGAGATACTTTCTGATACAAGAATTTATTCTTCTACCTTCCATATACTGTGTGAACCTTGAATCACCACTATTTCAAGTGTCTCTTTTATGATAACTCCCCTAAATCCCTGTTGCTCAAATCTTCCCACATGCCCATAGTCTGGCTGCTATATGGACATTCTGGGGCTTCAGAAGGACTAGGACTAACTGATTTCTGGTCTTTATGGGGGAAAAACAGAGCTTCTTTGTTCGCATGAGTCCACTTGATACCAAATAGCAAGCTTTTCCAAGGAAGAGAACATACACTATCAAGGCTGCTTTAGAAAGCTAAGTATGCTCAGTTTGTGACTGACAAACAAGAGAATGGGATACTGGGTCATATTAATAAAAGTCTAGCTTCCAAAATGAGGCAAACGATGATCCTTTACTTGTGATCTTGTCAGTTCTGAGGCTTTGAGGGGAGAGGTAGGACTGCTGTCTTCACTGTCTGAAGAGCTATTATTAAGAAGAAGCAAATTTGTTGCAGCCAGTCCCAAAGAAGCAATGAATACAAGTTACAGGGAGAGAGACCTTGGTTTATAATGGCGATTACTTTCTGGCAATCAGAATTGCTCGAAGATAAAAAGAGCCATCTAATGAGCTCTCTGTCACTGCAGGGAGATCAAATAGAAATTAGTCAATGAATTGAATGCTTAGGACAAATTGAAGAACTGGGTGGAGAAGTATAGCTTAATGACCTTCCAGTTCCAAGGTTTTTAATATTCTAAAATTTTCAGGACAAGGTGACTCTAAGCTCTCAGAAAATAAGAGCAAGATTCGGTCCTGAAAAAAGCAGTCTTTTGCTGGATGTGAGATGGATGAGGTTATGACAGTGAAAAAGTGAAGTCTTTCCAGGTAGCCTTTTCAAAGGAAAGCAGGCTGGCCAAGGAAAGCCTTTTGGGCAGCTTCTCCAGGAAACCCAGGTGAGGCTTGGTTCCACAATGGCCAGCCACTATGCCCCAATTTAAGTTCCTGTTACTTTACACAAAGGCTAGGCTACTACTTTCCAATTTTTTTTCTTTTTTTTGTCAAGCAGTACCCTCCCTATCACACCTACACACCTAACCAGCAAAGGCACAAAATTTTCCCCAAGAAGGCAGTAGTGCTTAATGGTCAAGACCATGCATTCTAGAACCAGGTTGCCTGTGTTTTAATTCCCAACTGGGACATGTAATTACTCTGTAACCTTTGGACAATCACTTAACCTCTCTGTGCTTCAGTTTCCTCATCAATAAACCAAGAATAATAATAGTATCTGCTTTGTAGTGTCGGTGTAAGAATACACATTAAACCCTCAGCCTAAGATCCAAAACATACGAGGCACTCAACAATGTTAGCAATTTGTATTGTTGATGTGATAATTACTACCATGGGCATGACAGTGTTGCTAACTCAAAATGCTCCCATCAAGCAACCAGATCCCTTCTCCTACCAGTTCAGAGAGGCTATACTACAACAGCTTCAGCCAGTCTTTGCCTAGCTCCAGACATCCAGAACCTACTGATCCTCAATAAACCATACAATTCGCAGCAGGAATCCTGGCTTCTCACCCTGCTCTAAATCCAAAAGCCACCCCTCCCCCAGTCCTCCTGCCTATGCCACCCTCAGCCACAATTAGAGGACCAGCAAACTGGGAAGCCAATTCCAGACAAACCATCAGGTGTTTCTTTCTTCTCAAGGACACAGCTGGACTTATACCATGCCTGCCAGTGGGATGGGGTAGGGTATCTGAATCCCTGGTCTAGCCTGTCTATTCAACTACCTAGGATGGGGAGTGGGCAGGCAATGGGGCTTCCCACAGGGAAGCAAGAGAAGCCTCCCAAGTTTGTAAAGGAACTCAGGCCCAACCCCACAATGAACCCCTTAAAGGAAGGGGGGAGGTCTCAAGCTGCTTTCAAAAGAAGCAGTTATTTACAACTTTCCACTCAGTTGCATCTGGGAAAGGTAAAAGGGAGATGGGGAAAAGGGCTGCATGGTATTCTCCCTCTTTCTCAATTTCAGCAGTGAGAAACAGCTGCAGAGAAAGAGTTAAATGAGGAAGGAAGCTCCAGCCATTACCCCATCCCCGTGCCTAGGGCTGTCTGGGGGGTCATGACTGTGCTGTCTGCTCTGGCTAGGGGACACTGGGTGGCCTTCTGCAGCAGCTGCCGGGGCCCCCCAGGCAATTTGCAAGGTCAAGGCTGACCTGTTTCCAAAAAGGAACAAAACAATTCACTGACAATGAAGCAAATCGCGCATACACCACATCACAACCCCCCTCCCCAAATCAGGTTTTACCCCAGTGCCTCCCTGCCCAGATGCCAACTCTGGGCTTCCACCAGCCCCACTGGGGAACCCAGGATAGCATCACAGCTGCAGAGCTTGTCTCGCCTCCCCGGCCAACCCAAGGAGATTCTCAGTACGGGGGAGAGATGCTATCGCTAAAGGAGACCTGAGCTTGGGGGAGGGGGAAGGAGGGACATCTATGTTCCTTACCAAGCGCCACAGTCACTTCCCCGAGGCAGAGAGAAGAGAAGGATGAATGAATTGAAACAAGTTGGAGATTGAGTCCTCACAGAGCTCGGCTTCCTCTTCTCTTTCTCTGGGTCTCTCTCCTGGTCCCTCTCTCGTCTCTCTGGTTTGCTCGCTAGCTTGCGCGCGCTCACGCTCTCCTCTCCCTCTCTCTCCTCCCCCTCTCCCTCTCTCTTTCTCCCGCCTCTCCCTATCTCTTCTCTCTTCCCTCCTCCCCTCCCCCTTTGCTGGCTTTAGATTCACCATTGCCTGGTGCTGAGCACGCGGCTATGCTGGGGCTCCGGAATACAGTGCTGCAAGGCTTTGGATCTGTGGTTGTTTTAGGAAAGACTAAAGTAGTATTTTATTATTTAAGATTTCCAGCAGAGAAATAGAGGGAAGCTCAGAGGGAAGGGGAGGAGCAGAGGAAGCAAGGGGAACAGAAAGAGAGCAAAAGGGTAAGAGCAGTGAATAAGAGGATAAAGGAAGTATGGATTACCATGCTGTGTGTGATGCTTGCTAGCTGCTCCAAGACAGAAAATAAGTGGTCTGTTCCCCTTCTATCCCTATGGGTGTGTCTTCTTAGCTCAGGCTCCAAATAAAGGTTTCACAATCCTGTCTGTTCACATTCCATCTCTGAGGACAGTAATGAGCTAAAAAAATTACATCAAAGAGGTTGTCATTCTCCCTCCACTAAAAAGAAAGGGTTTAGCCACGTTGATTCCTTAACGACCTAACTGCCACCTCCACCCCCCACCAAGTAGAAGTGTGAACCCAATTCAGAACTGTCAATTGGAGCTTCCCTCCAGGCAAAACAGACAAGCAACCGAACCACAATACTTCCCTTTCAAAAACCTCAGAAGGCAATATTGGTATAGGTGTGTGAGCCTACATGTGAGTTTGCACATGGGGGAATAGGACAGAGAAGAGATTAGTTAAAATATAAAAGAATTGTATTCCCATTTGGGGTAAAAATAAAAGTAAACTGAGCAAAGTACAGTAACAGTGCAATAGAGGGTAAAGAGACCTAGGCTAAGAACAAAATAAAGGAACTTAGGTTTGAGTCGTGCCTCTCAAAATTGCTCCACTGTGCCTTTGACAAGTTTAATCTGGCTCTCATTGTATCTCCAATGGCAAATGAATGGTGATAGATGTAGATGATCTTGAAAGACTCTTTGAGACCTAACAATTTAGGCTCTAAGACAGGAAAAATCCCAGGTGAAAGAAATTGATCTGTTGATAGTGAAAAATACACTATCAAATTTCAAAATTTCTCCAAAGATGGGTCCCCAAATGGGACCCCAAATCACATTGGCATGACATTCCATTTTGAATGTTTTAAGGGCAATATGAATATGAGCATATATGTAAAGAGCTGCTCCTAGCCTACATACAATGTTTAGCATAAAAATACTGGCCTCAGTGCATATACAGTGACTCAGACATGGTAGGCATTTAAAATTTTTTCCACAGTGGGCTATTTTTATCCCCCTACCCCAAATTCCCAATACTCTACTCTTGTCCAGTGAGGAATATGTGCTCCACTTCAAATACATACTTCGTCTAAAGCATATACCCATATATTGAGTATAGAGATAGGGATCCATAGGCTCAGAGTCACTGAGCTAAAAGGACCCAGAGAAATAACCATCTCATTATGCAGAAAGGGAAACAGGCCTGCAGAAAAAAATATAGCTCACATAATCTCATAGTGAATCAGGGATAAAATCAAGACCAGCACCCAGTCTGCTGATCCCAGACATAGTATTTTTGTCCACCAAAGCAACAGGTAAGCTTTACATAAAGCAAGTGCATTTGTTTGCATAAATGTCTGTTGGATTTAATGGATTAACAAAATGGCAAAAAGAAGTGTATGTACTGGCATAAGGTTGCTGTGTTATTTTCTAGGTCTGCCATAACAAATTACAATAAATTTGGTGGCTTAAAACAACAAAAATAGATTGTCTCATACCTCTGGAGGCCAACTGAAGTCTGATATCAAAGTGCTGGCAAGGCCAAACTTCCCACCAAAGGCTCTAGAAGAGAATTTTCCCTTGTTTATTCCAGCTTCTGGTAGCTTCTGTCATTCCTTGGCTTGTAGAAGAATCACTCTAATCTCTGCCTCAATCTTCAAATTGTCTTTTCTTCTGTATCTCTGTATGGGCAAATTTCCTCATCTTTTTTTTGTTATAAAGACACCAATCATTAGATTTGGGCCCACCCTAAATCCAGAATGATTTCATCTTGAGATCTTCTGCAAAGATCACACATCCAAATAAGATTACATCCTTAGGTTTTTGGTGGACAGAAATTTGTGGGAGATGCTATTCAACCCACTACAGGGGCCAACTTTTATTTTTGTAAAATAAAGATACTAGCAAATAAACCATCTATGATATCATCATTTTTAAAGAAAAGATATTTTAATACAAATAAGCTAGATGAAGATATTCTCATAATAAAAATTGTTCTTTAAATTATACAATTTTAGCTACTTGAAAAATTAATAGCATTTTCATAAATGTTCTCAGTTCACTGCAAACCACAGAAAAACTTTACTAGGACCACTTCTGGTAGTAATAAAGCAGTTTTTATCAAGCCAATCCTGCTGCAGATAACAATAAATTCTGGACAAAAATAAAACAACAATCTGAATGCTTTGGAAAGTGATCATAAGCAAGCATAAATTGGAAGAGAGTTAACAATGGAAGGTTGACAATTGGAAGAAAGGTACAATACTAAGTGAATTTCCATTTTTAAGGAATTTTTGCCTAAGGGCAGGCCCCATGAGGCAGGCCTCAGGCCAAAACAATAACTAAAACTTAGAGAAACTATAAGTGTTGCAGCTGTTAAATGTTTAACAATTGGCTCTTCAGGGAAAAAAATAAATAAAAGCCTGATTCATAACATTTCCTAATTTCTGTAGTGTAAATATTCCCACCATGGGCAATTCCATCAACATGAAGTTGGGAAGAGATGTACACAGTTGGCTCTCACAAGCCAGTGCCATTCAGCTACCTAACACAACTGCTCACAGTCCTAGTGGCTTGAAGAACAAGAAGACAAAATTCAGGATAACCACTGAAGTTGGAATGTGATGAGAGAAATTCAAGAATGGTGAGAACAACTCAGTGGGAGATCCCAATTCTGTGTATAAACTGCCCAACCAAATCTCTGTTGGAACCATAAATTATGCGTGTCGGGACAGGTTCAGCCTAAATAAAGCTGAAAGAATTAAACAGTTTTCACTGCTGCTCACCACAAGGGAGAGTTTAGAGTTTCAGTTCAGTTAACTGCCTACAAAAAAAAAAAAGCATTACTTTACAGAGAAATAAAAGAATGTAGAGATCCTACAATATATCATTCACAAAGTTCAGGGTATACTCCAAAATTCTAGGAAAAAAAAACACAAAGAAACTGGAAAATATTACCTATACTCAAGAGAAGAGGCAATCAGTGGACAATAGCCCTAAGATGGACCAGATGTTGGAATTAACAGAAAAAAAGTATAAGTCATCCATCATAACTACACTAATGGACATAAAGGAAAATACATTTTAACAAATGAACAAATAGGAACTTATATCAGAGATATAGAAACAATTAAAAAGAATCGGATGCTAGTCACCATACATTGCATCATTAGTTTTTGATGTAGTGTTCCATGATTCATTGTTTGTGAGTGCTCAACTAATGGTGTACTGTATGGTGATTAACATAATAAAATAAAATAATAAAATAAAAAATAATAAAAATAAACAAAAAGATCAATAAAAAGAATCAGATGCAAATTCTAGAACTGAAAATTAAAATTTCTGAAACAAAATTAGTTGGGTGGGCTTACCAACAGACTGGAAATAAGAGAAGAGAGAGTAAGTTAACTTGAAGACATATTAGTAAATATTATTCAAGCTGAAGTACAGAGAAAGAAAAGATTGAAAAAAGATTAAAAGAGCCTATGTAATCTGTTGGATAATATCAAAATTCTAACCTACATGTAATTGGAGTACCAGAAGGCAAAGAATAAAAGAAGGAAAAATTTTTGAAAAATAATGCCTAAAATATTTCCAAATATAATGAAACATAAATTTGTAGATTCAAGGAACTCAGTAAGCCCCTCACTAAGCAGGATACTACAGCCAGGTAAATCAATCAAGCTACTCAAAATCAAATATAAAGAGGAAATCTTGAAAGAATCTAGAAAAAAATAACATACTGAGGAACAACAATACAATTGACTGTTCTCTCATCAGAAAAAAAGTTATCTTTAAAGCACTGAAATTTAAGGAAAAAAACTATCAAAACAGAATTTTACATCCATCAAAAATATCCTTCATGGGGGCACCTGGGTGGCTCAGTCGTTAAGTGTCTGCCTTCGGCTCAGGTCATGATCCCAGGGTCCTGGGATCGAGCCCCGCATCGGGCTCCCTGCTCAGCAGGGAGCCTGCTTCTCCCTCTCCCACTCCCCCTGCTTGTGTTCCCTCTCTCACTGCTCTCTCTCTAAAATAAATAAATAAAATCTTTAAAAAAAAATCCTTCATGAATAAAGGCAAAATAATGACATTTTCAGATAAATGAACATTAGGATGATTTGTTACCAACATATTTATAGTATCAGAAATATTAAAGGAGGGCACCTGGGTGGCTCAGTTGGTTGGGCGACTGCCTTCGGCTCAGGTCATGATCCTGGAGTCCCGGGATCGAGTCCCGCATCGGGCTCCCTGCTCAGCGGGGAGTCTGCTTCTCCCTCTGACCCTCTTCCCTCTTGTGCTCTCTCTCTCTCATTCTCTCTCTCTCAAATAAATAAATAAAATCTTTAAAAAAAAAGAAATATTAAAGGAAATTCTTAAGTCTGAAGGTAAATAAAACCAGATGAAAATTTGGACCTTCCTGAAGAAATGAAGAACATTAGATATGGTAATATGAGGATAAATATAAAATATTTTCTCTTAATTTATTTGCTACATATATATGACAGCTTAAAGAAAAAATTATAACATTGTAATGTACAGTATATAATGTGGATAGACATAATACACATGACAACTATAACATGAATGAGGGACAGGAAGAAGAACTGTATGTTGGCAAGGTCCTTACATTTTACATGAGACAGTACAATATTGACTGTAAGCAAACTTTGATTCATTCTAACAAGTAAATCCTGAACAGACTGAAAAAAAACATGTTTTGA